AGTAGCTTTCGTATTGAAAAAACGATATGGCACAAAATTGGTTATTTCTTTTGAATAAACAACATCGCGCGAGATCGCTCTCATACTGTGAAATTGCTCAGACATGACAGACATGGCGGCCATCGTAACGGCAAGTCCGTACCACGTATTTTTACAGTTATTCCAAATTATCTCGATATAAAAGGCAAAGCACAACTCTTTTCTGAATGTAGCTTGAACACAATTATTAGTTCGAAGTAAAGTTTCCTCTGTTACATTTTTAATGCTGGTTCTTTAATGTCCCTGTTATGTAATCGGATTTCCTGTTTCCTATATGAATGTTGTTGTTTTTTTCACGATAACAAACTTTTAAGCATCTTTTGATATTCTTACCGGTCGTTTACGTTGTTAAAAAAGAGGGAAAAAACTTTTACAGGGGTTGATAATTCGTTGGTGCATTCCTAGGAACCCTCCTCCCCGAAGGGACCCGAAGGGACATTAATTGTATGGGGCAATTTTGAGCTTTTGGCACATCCCTGAACTAAAAAGTCCTTCTTTGAGTCTGAAACGAAGCATTCGAACATCAACAGGTGACGAAAAATGGTAAAGAAAGATCCATTTTTTTATATTTTACAATCTAGTTTATATTAATTGATTCGCTATTGAAGTATTCAGTTTATTTTAATTTAGTGTTGCTTCGCTTGATAAAGCATTTGCAACAGTAGAAACAGTTCCCTCGCGATCAACACGTGCCATCTTGAACTTATTTGCTTCACGAGCGAGAAAGGAAAATAGATCATTGTTCCATAAATACAACTTAAAGTATAAACAGCCAAAGAAACATGGCAAAAAAAGATTCATTAAAAAATTTTTGCAAGCCAGTCACGTTAATTTGATCGTTATTGAAGAATTTAGTAACGAGTTTACTTTGTACAGAGCTTTGCTGAACAAAATGGCTCGCTTGCTGTCTGGGGTGTCATTTAGCAGTTTTCACTTTAGTCGATGTTAATGATTTTTAATTGCTACTCACACACTTAATGTTCATTATTTCTACAGGAGCCAACTAATAACCGTTTCAACGGAAGTGAAAGCTTGAGGGATCAGCAGGTAAATATTCAAACATTAAACCTGAAGAGTCTCAGTGTTGGAATCTTGTAGCACTCTTCCTCTATATATATTTCCTATCTCACAATTTTTAGAAAACATATTTTGAAAAGAGCAATTGTTGAGGAAGACATGTTGGAAGTGAGATAGCTTGTCTTTGAGTTTGGAGACTGAATGGAAATATGTTGTGAAAGCTAAAAATATTTCGGAATTTCTAGTGAAGAAAGAGTGTTTCCTAATTTGTTGAAAGTTTAATTTAAAAAAACATATAGGTTCAATATCAGGCACCATTCGCACCGTTTTTGATGTTTATGCATTTCTCTAATATACTTGAAACTTCGAATACCATTCTGTATTTTTACGATTTGAAAATCAATTATTATTAGTATTGTTTGAAAGATGATCAATAGAAGCACAAACAAACCTTGCTAATACTCTATTATCTAATGTTATTAATAGAGTCCTAGACCTGTAGCTAACCACTTTTTTCAATCATTCAAGTAAAAGTCTAATAATGTCCCTAACATCCCTGTTTATTATACTAAAAGTAGAAACAAACAAACACTTTGCCGTAAGGTTTTCTTGATATGAACAATATATATATCTGATATTTAACGTGATTGTTGTAAAATACAATCAGTTTTAAACTCCTAACAAGTGAGGTAACTCCATCTAACGAGACAGCGCTGTAGAGATACAACAAACAGTCCGGCATGTTTTGATTTCCAAACCAGCCATATATATATAT